GTAAGATTTAACGCAACAACCAATGACAAAAATGTATCCAACCCCCCGTCGGCTGGGTGCCACTCTTACCTGTCTTCAAAACTTGAGAGCCCTGGAACGTGTCCGTCTCATCAGCATCCATCAACACCAGAGTATTTGGAGGTATGCTGTCCTGGCTAATCTACCAATAGATTGCAATTGCTAACGTCATTTATACTCTAAATGAGCTTACTTGATTTTCCGCCATCACTCTTCGTTACTGCGCGAACTTCCGCGAACTTCAGGCGTGTGCATGTGATTGTAACTTGCGCGAGGGATGGCGTGTGCCCAATCTGTGATTGACAGTCAGATCTCACACCCCGCTGCGCTGATTAGACATGATGAACCGGGAGCTGTGGATTTTTGCAAAACAAATAACACGCTCCAGGTGGAGTTAGAAGCTCGGGTTTTTTTCTAAAACCACTTTATTTATGTTGTTCTGTCAGATTATAGTGTCGATTTCACTGAATATGATCAAAAAATTTTTGCCGACGGCAGCTTTAAGGTATAACTAAACATAATATACACAATAATAATCTAGATGCATGTAACATCGTACTGAAAAGTCTCTCTTAATATCAATTTTATCCTAAAATTACTGCCACTAATTCCAAACAAAAGATGAAAAACAAGCTTCTAAACGCATTAATACTTACAGACAAAACTTCTATAAATGATCGCAAAGATGATGAAGAGATTAAGCTGCTTTAACTGCGTGACTATCGGCATCAACTGAGTAAAGAAGATGGCTTCTTCTTCTATTTTTAAATGGCGGTTGACAACTATTTTAGTATAACAGGCGATACACTATCTATAAAATTAAATTCTTTTTAAAAGCCCTGTATTCTTAAAAAAAAAAAAAACTATTCAAAGATAATTTCATTGGCCTCTAGCAATAAGCCTCTGCCTATCTTGATGATATTTCTGACAATGAATCAATACATGCTCTACTGTTTCTGGCCTACGCCTGAGACAATACTACAACAAGATGGCTGCAATTAAGGTCAGAGGTTACTCTCTCTGACAACATCAAAAACATACATGGACGAGCACCATCCAGTGGCTCTAAAAATAAACTACACTAAGAACAGTACAAGCAGTGCTTCGCCTTCTGAGAATATAGTTCCCAGTATGTATACGGTTAATGGATGCCTGTGTCTCATATGTCCTTGTTATTTGTACACACTGTGACTATACAAATCACAACATATAAATAGGAAAATGTTGGCGTTATTTTGTCACTTATTGGGAGCAGTATGCTAGCTGGAGCCATTTACTTCCAGTCTTTGTGCTAAGCTAGGCTAGCGGTGGGTGCCTCAGACAGAGTTACGGCACGGAGATGAAAAGGGTATGTATGGACTTATCTAACTCTGGGGGATACGGTGAATGGGCTAAAGTCCCCAAAAGTCGGTGTGTTCCTTTAAGAGCAGGCGAATACAATTTCAATAGCTTAATTCTATCATAGCTTACATTGACAAAACTTTTAAACAAAAATTTTTTTAGAGGAAAAAAAAAATACAAATTACAACTCACTATTTTGCCAGTGTATTTTTTACATTTTCTTTATAGCCCTGAATTTTCACTTAACTAACTTAAGTTTAGGAGTAAGAGTAGAATTATGTAATTCTTAGAATTTTGACAGACTAAAGACTAAAATGTTACTCTGAGCGGCTTTATACATTCGGCCCCTGATATAGATTTCTCCCAATAAATTTAGTCTGATAAACACAGCAAATTAATTCAGTTAAACTGTTTCATGAATCATGATTCGACTAGTACACAAAACCTTTAAAAAAAAAGTTAATTGTCATTACTTTTTTGGACAAAATTGTTTGTCAAAATATAACACATGTAACCATATAGCTAATGTAAGAGCCTAAATGACCTTATTTCATAAATAGATAGCAGCTGTAAAACAAATATCCATTTCATCTTCTCTCAGTGATGTGTTTTTCAGAGTCCATATTATGAGAGGTATCGCCTCTTTAAATATACATAGAAAAACAATTAGAGCCATTTTTCCATAAATAATTAGTGTTTACAACTACTGGTTCATTAGCAATGCTGAATACAATGCTAAATGTACAATGCATCACCTCTAAACAGCGACACTAAAAACAAGTTGTTTGTGATATGAATGATATTTGATAGACTATTGTTGCCATTGTTTCACAAATGCCTCACATGTACAATGAAAATATTGAAACCAAAAAGAACCAAAACACATCCCTTCATAAATCATAGTGGTTTATGGCGACACTCTAGTTTTCTGAACTATGAGATGACATGAGTATTTTCACATTGTTGCTTTACTGTTCAGGATCAATACGGGTGTCGGAAGAACAAAACATGCAACACTTACAATGCAATTCACATCCATTTAAACCGGTTCCCCTTATCCCGACCTTATCAAACAATCAAACTTCAATACTAATTTTAGATTCAATTACTGTAGTAAAGGTTATTCCATCTTTTGCTTATTAACAAGTTATGGAAGTGAACTTTGCTCACTTAGACACCTTCAGGCAATGATTTTTCTTATGTTTCAGTAGAGCAGACGAATGGCTGAAACTCTTCCCACATGAAGAGCACTTGGATGTCCCCATAATGGCTGTCTTTTCGTTATCACCTCGGCCTGTGGCTTTACAATTTATGCGCATATACTGACTTTTCACCCAAAATCAGCCGGGTCGTAATTAATCTTGCTTACAATGTCTGTCCCCTGGACTCGAACCAGTGACTTCCAATGTCTTTCTCTGGACTTGAACCAGCGATTAATTACTTATCACGAGTACTTCGGCTTCAGTCTGGATAATATCTTGACCGCTTCCGTGGCCTCAATTTCCTCCCCCTTTTCCTCGTACCACAGCTCTGGTTTTAATTTCCAAGTACAGCCATCATAGTTCACCCACGAAAAATTTTCAAATCCCCAAAGAAAAATAATTTACTGTCTCTTACCAGAGATTTTCTTTTTTGTTCCCGCCTGAGTTCTTTTCTGAGGTTCTCCCCTGAAGTTCTCTGGGCCTGAGGACTATCTCAAGGTCTGTTCTTCTACCCATAGACAGACTAAAGTTCAGTTCTCCACCGTCAGGAAATAATAATAATAACCTGAACTTTAGTGTTTGATCATGCTCTCTTGCTTGCTCTAAAACTGGCCTGTCCTTTGACCTTTGGGGTCAAAGTCCATCCGTCTCTCCCCGTCCACCCCTCTCACCTGCTCACATCAATCAGTAGCAGCAGCAATTATTGGTTTGAAAGAGAAAGAATAAAATTTCCTATAACAACAGCAAATAAAATCGTAATGAATAGTATAATTATATAATATAAGTACATAATATAATAATACAAATATTGATAATAGCATATAGTTTATGTATAATACTATAATAATAGCAATGGAATAATAAATATATATTACAGTATATAGACACTAAAAAATAATAAGTTAAATAGTGACTATGAATAGTACAATAATGTAACAGCATAGCTGTAATAGATTGATAATCGCAAGTGGTATAATATAATAATAAGAACAGCAAATACAATGTAATATCAATTGCAGAATAATATAGACAATATGAAAAAAATATGAAACATTATAATATTGATCATTAAACTGACATTTAACAAAACGATTTGTGTCATTTTATTGTATGTAGGCCTACATACAGTGAAGAGAATAAAATAAATTATATATTTTAAAATATTCCTACATATAGGCTATATATATAATAATGTCACAACCCTGTCTCTTTTTGTGAGACCAAAGATCGTCAGTTAGATATACACAAGACCAATTATATCTCATGTTTAACCACTTAGACTAGAGACATCAGAGCCAGCGGCAAACGTCAGAAGCACTAGCCGAGGTGAGGCTGTTCCAGGCGGGGAACATGAGCGTTGAGTGCCCGGTGATCGCCTGGATCTCACACATTTTAAAATAGGCGCTATCTTTATAAATAAACCACAGATTTGAGCTTTAAACATTGTTAACTGAAAAACTATTAAAACTACATTTCGAGACACAATAACAGTAGTATTTTTAAATTTCGCGGCCTTTCTCCTCTGAACGTTACTATTACTGATTATATCATGACGAAATACAACCAGAAACAAATTTTCAGTCTTGCTTGTGAAGGATAATTCCTCGAGACCTGCTTTCAATTGTGTGGCGATTTGTACAGCCCCAAGCAGCACACGAAACAGACATTTTTCTCAATTCTCGTTATGAGAAGTATGGGAAAGTTGCCCTCCGCAGTATGGCGGCGCCGTTGATGTACGCTCCAGCGGCCAATAGGGTGTCAATGTATTTTTGTCTATGAGTTAAACTGCCCACTGTTCTTAAGAAAAATCCAGGTCCTGTACATTTTTTGGTTTTCCAGCATATTTTGAATATTTGAAAAGTCCCATTCCAAAAGTGACTATGATGTTGAGATCTATCTATTCACACCGAGGACAACTGAGGGACCCACACACAACTAAAGGGTGAAAGATAAGTGAAGTTAAAGAGAGCTGAACTTAGCTGGACGATGACATCACTGTTTTCTCCAGAGTGGCTGTATAAATTAACTAAATTAATAACTAATGATTTTTACAATGGAAATTTACCATCACTGAACTGGAGTAAGAGTAGAATTATGTCATTCTTAGAATTTTAACTGTATCTTCAATGAAAATAATGAAAGTTTTCTGAACTATTATTCTTGTTCCATCTGTATGAGATGACCATGCACTGCTTGAGCGATGACACTGACACGAGTATTTTCACATTGTTGCTTTACTGTTCAGTTCATCTTGTATACAGTAACACTCAGTGTTTACTGCGCATGTGCAACACAACAGAGGATCAATATGGGTGTCGGAAGAACAAAACATGCAACACTTACAATGCAATTCACAACCATTTAAACCGGTTCCCCTTGTCAAACAATCAAACTTCAATACTAATTTTAGATTAAATGACTGTATTAAATGTAATTCCATCTTTTGCTTATTTACAAGTTATGGAAGTGAACTTTGCTCACTTAGACACCTTCAGGCAATGCTTTTTCTTATGTTTCAGTAGAGTAGCTAATTGGCTGAAACTCTTCCCACATGAAGAGCACTGGTGCGGCTTCTCTCCAGTATGAACTCTCTCGTGAACTTTCAGGTTTCCTGAATAAGTGAAACTCTTTCCACAGTGTGAACACTTGTACAGTTTCTCTCCAGTATGAACTCTCTGGTGTGATTTTAAGTTGTTGGATGAAGTGAAGGTCTTTCCACAGTCAAAGCACATATAAGGTCTCACACCAGTATGAATACGCTCATGCACTTTTACAGATCCAAGATGTGAAAAACTCTTTCCACAAACAGAACAAAAGTGAGTTTTCGCAGCAGAATGAACTTTAAGGTGTGATCTTAAGCCGGATTCAAAAACAAATGTTTTATCACACTGATCACAGCTGAATGATTTCAATCCAGAGTGACGGCGCATATGATCATTGAGAACGCTTTTGTAACTGAAACTCATTCCACACTGAGTGCATGTGAATGGTTTTTCTCCAGTGTGAATCATCATGTGTGTCTTAAGGTGTCCTTTTTGACTGAAAATCTTTCCACACTGAGAGCATGTGAATGGTTTTTCTCCAGTGTGAATTTTCATGTGTTGGTTAAGGTTTGTTTTAACTATGAAACTCTTTCCACACTGAGTGCATGTATAAGGCCTTTCTCCAGTGTGAATCATCATGTGTTTGTTCAGGGTTGATTTAGATACAAAACTCTTTCCACACTCAGAACAGGTTAAAGATCCTTTGACTCCAGATTTTCCAGCTTGTTTCTGTGTGAAATTGTCTTCAGTCTTTGAAACGACTGCATTTCCATCTTCATTTGTGAAATAATGCGTTTTTTGAAACTGATGCTGTTTGTCTTCATTCACTTCCATCAGGTCTAAAATAAACAAATTAAATTCCCATAATTCAATTAAAGGAGAAATGAGAAACAAAAATAAACATTGTTCAAGATTTAAATTTAGCAAAAATCCAGTTTACTACTGAGTCTATTAGTATCTAGTTTTAGATGTTATTTATATGTCAATTTTTCATCTTAATGTTCCTCATCAGTCATTAAAGAGAATGAAGGAAAACACCAACCTATTTGTTCCTCTGTATCTTCATCTTTTATTCTGCAGGGTTCTTCCTTAATCTCCATCTTTACAATAGTATGTCCGTAGTTTCTCCTGGAGTAATTCCTCCTGCTTGCTTCTTCTTCTCCTGTGGGAAGATGTGAATATTCCCCAGCATTTAAACTCTCATGAACGGCTGTGGGAGCTTCACTGACTGAAGGAGTGAATTGTGGTCGTTGTTGCTCATTTAGCAGATGATCATCACACTGACAATCACTCCCAATTATCCAGGTGCAAATAGTCATTTAGAAACAATTCATTGATTACTGGATTTACACTTTGGCCTTCATATCAAGCTCAAAGTGTAAATTCAGTGATCATGGAATTTGGCTGTTAAGTGGTGATGCACAATTATTGTCATTCATTGCCGTTTGGACTCCAGGTGTTTCACATCTGGGCCGTGTGGACTCCACCTGTACCACATCTGGGCCGTGTGGACTCCACCTGTACCACATCTGGGCCGACATTATGTTGCTGTCTGGGTCTTGATCTGTAAACTGTATATTCTTTTGTAAAGTGCCTCATTTTGACTTTGTCCCCCTTGTTTCATGCATTGTATTTTTCATTGTGTCCTTTTATTGTGGCTGAAGACTCTGCTTCATTTTTTTTTTTGGCAAAGCTAAAGAGAAAAAAAGAAAGAAAAAAAAAGAAAGAAACTTTACAAACAGATATTTGAATCTCAAAATGATCTATTATGGTGAAAGTGAACAGCTGTGTCACCTGGATGTTATTTCTAAATCAATACTTAATTATTCCAAAACAAACCTGTTTGGGAGCTATGAAAAATTGTGCTCTAAAAAGTGCATTCCCAGTGTGCTTTAGGGTGCTTCCAAAGGCACACTGTCTCCCAGCCAGAGTATTTCTTTCCTGGGTACAGTGATGGACTCTATACAAATAAAAGCACGCCATACGTCAGAGCGCACGCTCACCATTCAACGCCTAGCGACATGTTTGAGAACAGGCGGTTGCGCTCCTCTCAAGTGATTTCAGAGGATGTTGGTTCTCATGACCTCAGCATCATCAGTATGCAGTATGCTGATATCCTCACCCCACCTCATCAGGATTATTCTCACAGTACCAGTTTGAACCTCTGAACTTATCTGCTGTCCTCCTAAAGATTCATTAAAAGTTATTTTGAACACTACTAACCTTGTTCTCCGGGTGTGTCCGAAAGCCCAACAATGCCCCCTGGAGGTATATTTATGTATGTGACTTTGTTGGTGCTTGCACGGGCATGGACAAGTCAGGGCATGTCTGAACTAGGATAAGAGAGCAGTCCATATACATAGGTTGAGAGACTGACTGCTTCTTACACAAAGCGGACTGATGCATGTTTGTTGTTCCTATGAGTGATTGATGAAGAAGCAAGTTATCTGTTTTACATTATATGCTGTTCGAACTTTAATATTCTGTGGATTCAGTTACTGTCATCTGTGAACTGTATTAGTTTAACTAGTTATTTGAATAATTATATTTCAGTGTGAACTGCATGTTACTCAAATCCATGTAAAGTCAAATTGAGACTATTTTTAATACTGTTTAGTTGTTTATGTTCTGCAGTATAATTCAGATAATAAATGGAGGCCAGACCGTGCTTAAACAGAACTGTAACTTTACTCTGTATTCTCGTTGGCATAACACACGCGACCGCATACAGTCACTTCTCACTTCCCGCAATACACAAGAGACTCTCTTAAAGTGACAGCATAACATAAACTAGAACCTTCCTTAAAGGTACCATAACTCATTATCATAACATCTCTCCCCCCTAAGAATCAACGTTACCAACCCTTAACAGCCCAATCAGAACGTCTCTTTTTCTTTTTTTCTTCTTCAGTATCCCCATACAAACTATTTAACAATTAACCCTACTATAACCTAAAGATTAAGCCTATTAGGTGCTTTCTTTTGGCGTCCTGATCTCCTTAAAGTCTCTGAAGTTTCCTCAGGGACGGTTGGTACACTTCCTGGAGGCACCAGTGCCCCCTGTGGCACCGAGACAGCTGTTACGTCAGAGTTCTCTCGTTTTTCAGCCCTTTCCACTTGATCCTCACACTCCTGCTGCTCCTCCACATGACGGCTCCTCACATGATCCTGATGGCGACGGACATCACGTCCATCTGACAGCCTCACTACACATGAGCGGGGACCACTTTTTTCCAAAACGGCTCCCGGCAACCAGCGCTGACCTCTGGCAAAATTCCTGACAAAGACCGTCTCACCTTCCCCGAAGCACCGTTCTCTTGCATGCTTGTCATGCCGCGCTTTCTGCTTTTCTTGCTGGATTCTCACTTTCTCCCCAACACCAGGATGCAGCAAATCCAGGTGAGATTTCGGTTTCCGACCCAGCAACATCTCTGCAGGCGCCAGGCCTGTAGTAGTCTGCGGTGTAATCCGATATTGGAACAGAAAACGAGAGAGGTTAGTTTCAACATTTTCCCCTGACATCTTCTTTAAACCGGTTTTCAACGTCTGCACCGCTCTCTCGGCCAGCCCGTTCGATGCCGGATGGAAAGGTGCTGTACGAATATGTCTAATTCCATTCCTCTTGACAAATTCTTGAAACAGCTCTCCTGTAAAGGTCGGTCCATTATCAGTTACCACCACATCCGGCAGTCCGTGTATTGAAAACACTTGGCGCAGTGCGTCAATTGTCACGCCAGCTGTAATGTTTTTCAAAATGTGTGCTTCCAGCCATTTTGTGCGAGCATCCACCATGACCAAAAACATACGCCCCATGAAAGGACCCGCAAAATCCAAGTGCAGCCTGGACCAAGGCCTGTTAGGCCACTCCCAGGGCTAAAGAGAAACAGGTGGGGGCATTTTCTGGTTTTCCTGGCACTCCCTGCAGTGTTGGACCTTGTTTTCGATATCCTGATCCATATTTGACCACCAGACATAGGCCCTCGCTAAACTCTTCATGCGTGAAACCCCAGGATGGGCTATGTGGACCTCCTGTAAGACTCTGGCTCGCCCTGGAAGAGGCACCACCACTCTTGAACCCCATAAGATGCAACCATCCTGAACTGAGAGCTCATTTTTCCTTTTCTCAAAAGGTTTCAACTCCGCATCTGCAACAATGGATGGCCAACCCTGTAGCACGAATCTTTTGACTTTTGACAAGACCTTGTCCCTTTCTGTCCAAGCTTTGATCTGCTTCGCGCTCACTGGTGAGTCACTCAACTTTTCCAGCAGGAAAACAGTTTCAGGAGGCAGAGGAGTGGACACAGGGGTGTCTGGAAGTGGCAATCGGCTCAATGCATCCGCATTGGCATTCTCCTTTCCCGCTCTGTACACTATACGATATTGATAGGCAGACAATGTCAGTGCCCACCTCTGGATACGAGCTGATGCCATGGAAGGAACACTCTTATGCTCACTGAACAGGCTCATCAACGGCTTATGGTCCGTGAAAACTGTGAAGGAACGGCCATAGAGATATTGGTGAAAACGCTTCACAGCAAATACCACTGCCAAGCCCTCTTTGTCTAGTTGAGAATAACCCTTCTCTGCTTTTGTAAGCGTCCTGGACGCAAATGCAATGGGTTTCTCATCACACGACACTGTAAGCTCCTTCTCAGGGTCAAAATGGACTAATACACTGGCTGACTGCAGCAGATTTTTGACTTTGGTGAAAGCAGCCTCCTGCTCCCCTCCCCACTTCCACTGGCAATCATGATGTAACAGCCTGTACAACGGGGCCAGCACAGTTGATAGCTCCGGCAAGAACTTCCCGTAATAAGTTACCATCCCCAGGAATGACTTAAGCTCCGACACATTTCCCGGCTTGCGGGCCTCCTTGATGGCCCTGACTTTTTCTGCCACTGGAAAGAGGCCATGGGCTGATATTTGATGACCCAGGTAGGTTACACTCTCTGCCTGGAATGTACATTTGCATCGTTTTAGCCGCAGCCCTGCCTCCGACATCCTCTTGAGCACCTGTTCGAGGTTACTGAGATGCTCCTCTTCTGTCTTCCCAGTGACCAGAATGTCATCGAGGTATACTGCCACGTTTGGAATTCCTTGCAACAGGTTTTCCATTGTTCTTTGAAAAATGGCCGGGCTAGACGCCACTCCAAACACCAGTCTGTTATATTTGAACAGCCCTTTGTGAGTGTTGATCGTGACGTATTGTTTTGACTCCTCATCCAGCAACAACTGTTGATAGGCATGACTCATGTCAAGCTTAGTGAAGGTTTTTCCTCCCGCCAGCATTGAGAACAAATCTTCCACTCTTGGAATAGGGTATGTCTCCAACTTCGCTGCTTGATTGATTGTCAGCTTATAGTCTCCACAAATGCGGACTGTACCATCCCCTTTTAGCACGGGAACGATTGGGGCTGCCCAGTTTGAAAATTTAATTGGCTCAATGATACCGAGCTGCTGAAGCCTCTCAAGCTCTTTTTCCACTTTATGCTTCATTGCATATGGGACAGACCGGGGTTTAAAGAAGTGAGGTGTAGCATTGGGCTCCACGCAAAGTTTCACCGTGGTACCCCTTAGGGTGCCCAGCTCATCCTTAAACACATCTGGATACCTCGCCACCACATCCCCAGCACAAAGCCCTTTTATGAGTCTTATCTCTCCCCAGTTTAACTGAATTTTACTGAGCTAATCACGCCCCAGCAGGCTCGGGCCTGTTCCCTTGACAACGAGCAAGCGAGCTTCAGCCGCCTGGCTGCCATAGGCAATGGTCACTTCCGTCGCACCCATTACCGGAATGATCTCTCCTGTATACGTTCTCAATGTAATGGAAGACTCACATAATGCTGGTGTCTGCTCATTAGTCCATAACTTCCCATAAGTCTCCTCACTGATGATTGATGCAGAAGCTCCCGTGTCAACCTCCATCTTAAGGTTTGCTCCATTAATTTGAATTGTTGCATAAAGAGGGTCTGAACGAGTTTCACTCAAGTTAAACATTGAATAGGAACATGTCTCCTCTTGTTCAGTCTCCACTATGTGATGTGTCTTTAAGTGAGGTTTCCATCCACCCTTTGAGTTTTTCCCTGTAGATTTGTTACATCTGCATTTCTTTGCCAAATGACCCTTCTTGCCACAATTATGGCACACAGTGTCTTTGAATTTACAAACATTTGCAAAGTGAGCTCCCCCACATCTGTAACATTCCACTGATTTCACTTTGACAGCCTTAGACACCTGAAAAATATCACTCTGAGCACTGCCAC